CTACAAAAAGAAACAGGGTGGTGCAGCGATGATCGAAATATAAATGTACAGAGACTGAACCAATTTCAGTACGTAGCGGTAAGCTAGCACAGAATAGTTCATAACCGCATGGAAGAAATAAATACAAGGCACCACGCTGTAAGGCAATAAATACAAGTTTCCTGACATTTTGAATCACACTGAATTTAATCTTTCGGCCTTCAGCGCCCGCATATATAAAGCATACAAAAGCAAGGCAATTATTACGCAATACCCTCCGAAAGCAAGAGACGACAATTTAAGGAAGGAAGATTAACGAGGATACGAATCAAGCGCAGTGTCACTTATTTTCCGTAGAGTCAAGCTCTTCTTTGAGAGAAGATGAAATTTCTTCATGTAGCGGTACTCCAAGAGTAGCAGGCTGTACAATCTGCGTGGAGCGAATGGGTGGTATATAGAAATATCCATTCAGTGAAGGCGACAGAACTGCCATAGATAGTCTGAACAATGACTAATTCTACCGGACCATTATGTAATCCTCCATATCTTCAGACTGCCGTAATATATCGCTGCAGGAGAGCAAAATCACCTCCAATTATGACTCAAACTAAACTGGAGAAGCATAAGTGATAGCTGAAATTAGACAGAACCTTTTAAATCGTCAACGCAACTCAAAAACAGCCCCAAGCAAGCGTAAGCGGTGAAGGTAGAAGTTAGGTTTAGTCACCAAGTTGAATATGTAAACCACACTGATGTACATCACGTACGCAATTTAAACTGTTTATGGAAATGGTCCCTGAAGATGGATCCAGTGGCATCCAAAACGGCGTTCAATCATATATTACACAAGCGCCAAGTAAACCTTCTAACCACCGACTGGTGGAATGAAGAACTACGCATCCGCATTAAGAATTCAACTGACATTTTCAAAAATGGCTTGCCCTGCGTCAGTTACTATGAATCGCATTTCCACTGACCACGTGAAGGTGAAATGATAGTTTACTACTTGAACAATATCACCAAGGTGTCTTGTTTTTCAGCATAGGTCAAATGACGAAAAACAGCACACAGAAGGAATAGCGAAAATGAGAGCCGAGACAAAAAACAAGCAAATGAAACTATGGACAAAACGATGAACGAGACGCCTATATTCGATTTACTGCGCAACGACAATAAGGTATAACAACCAGAGTTGGCAGGAAATTACAGTATAAATGTTCTTCAGAGTTACTCAATGACATGGTTAATTGAAGGGGCGAAGCTGCACCCTTATGCTTAAGGTTTTAACTCAATACAACGTAACAATTGCATTAGAAAACATAATTACCAATCTGGTATTGGTAACCGGAAACAGTATAGCCAGGGTAGCTCCAGACACCATGTACATGCTGATGCCATACATCAGCCTCACGAAATAAGAAGGGGAGTAACTGAGCAAGCTGATGAGTTGCAGCACGGTCGTCACATGACAGGGGTTGAGCAGGAACAACAACGACTCTGTCAGTACTTTGTAGAAGATTTCGGCAGAAAAGGCGAGTACCAACAACGCAGTGAGCAGATATCTGACTGAGCACGACGGCTGGTTCGGCACTCGTCCTTCTTGTTGGAAGGCAGGCGAACGCAGAATCTTTGGCAGCGAAATTCGAACTTCGTAAATACCAAGAGCAAAGGAAAGTATTGTTTCGAGCAGCTTCTGTTCGACCGACAGGTATCTAACGCAGTTAGCACCGCCTGTGCCGGGGAGGCTAAAATTTATTCCGTTCGACAGGTAACGCATTGTACCAAATGTGTAAAAAGCAGAAAATCGCCAAGGCTGGCTCTGAAAAAGCTGGACAATCAGTGGCTGCAAATTAAAACGTAACGCAAATATTATTAACGCGGTACTTCAGTTAAATGAAAATTTATTGTCTGAACAGAACCAGTAAGAAATTCATTTTTCAGCAATAATAAGCAATATACAGGTCAAAAACAATGAATGTCACAGAACAAAGAAATGCTCTTGGTCCCTTAGAACTAATGGAACAATACAGTGAACAAATGAACAGAGAAAATGAAAAGATGCTAGAAGAAAACTATAAAAGAGTGACGAAGTTTAGATATGAATGTTTAACCGAGTTCCTCATTCTGATGGGAGATTTTACTGTGCATGTCGGAGCAGACGCTGAAAAATGGAATTGTGTGATTGGAAAGAATGACCCCAGCGACCTCAACATTAACAGCATGAAGCTGTTCGTGTTTTGTGCAGAAACGGAGTGCCGATCATGAACACCTTCTTCGAGCATCGAAGAGCGCATCAGTACACCTGGTACAAGGAA